GTCTGTCCTCTCAACGACTTGTACTGCTGATCCAGCGCAGCGTACGGGATGGGAGATTGCGCGGAAAGCTGTAAAATGATGGACCGAAGCATAATTTCTACGAGCTCGTTCTGTTCATTCCTAAAATCGAAGTAGAAATAGGCAACCGCGGAGATCCCGGCAGTGGCCTGAACGTTGAAGAGCTGTGCAATTACTGAGGAGCTGCTGAATGTCAGATGCGAATTTCAGCCATTATGTTGGTGATGGGCATCACCTTAGTACACTCTTACCGGCGCCGGCTAGTGCCTCTAATTAAACTTTTGACTGAAAGGCATTCGAGTGGCTCACATTTTCCTTCAATCCATAGAGATCCAGAATTTTTCTTCCATTCACTGAACTGGCCCCCATTCAAGAACCAGTTTCCAGTGCCTTCGTGATGGAGTTTCTGTGTCGCATGTTGTTTCTCCGCCATGTCAGGCGGAGATTTCAGCCATTCTCGAAGTTTTTTTTCGAGGCTGGGATCAATTCAGTTTCCAAGCAATTTGCAGGATATTTAACTGACGCTAAGATTTGGATGTCGCTCAGGTCCTTGCGGATTTCGGCCTGACCAACCTGAATCTCGATACCACGCTTGATCTAATGAAGAAAGAATTATGGCAAGGGAGAGATCTGGAGGAACGTGCTTACACTGAAACGGCTTGCAAAGGAGTCCAGTTCACTCTCGAGAGCAGTCCACTGACTGGCCCATTCCTTCTGGTTTATGGCCCTGAGTGCCTTGTTTTGACCATCAAAGCAAGAAATTAGTGCCGATGCCTTGGCCAGAAGTCTGGATTGATTGTAAGGCTTGTCCACAAGGATACGATGCACAAAAAACCAACCCAGCATATTCCTCAACGTCTTTCTTGAGACTCCCAGGAATCTGTACATCTTCCAGCCCTGTCTTCATTTCATTGAGATCCTTGGTTATTTTTCCGATTAGGGTGTCCAGCGTGTTTCGATTTTCACCCATGTCCTGGATTTCCTGCAAATGAAGGTTGACACGGTACGACTCAATATCATATATTCGGCGTACCTTGCATGTTTTCAAGACCTCGGACAGAAGCGCAGCGACTGGAGCTACGAAAGGGACCTTATCAACGACGTTCGCGATTTTCTCGGCGATATTGGCTGCAAGAGCAAGATTGTCGACGTTGAGTACAGAGTTGGATATTTCGTTATCGATGCCGGGCGAGGCGTAGGCCGAATTGACTGGCTCCTCTTTTGCCCCGGTAACCTCTGTGTCAATGGCATTGTGCTGCGGCAGGCCGTTGAGCGAGACACGTGTGAGCGGACCAGCACTCGTGTGGCTCGCCTTCTTTTTGGTTTTGAGCCGTGCCCAAAATCCACAACGGGGTGAATCCTCTGATCTGGCAGGACTGCCCTCCCTGGTTACGCTTGTATCGCGGTGAGATTTAACGAAGAGACCGCGGAGAGCTTTCATCGTGGTTTAGGGAGAAGAGGTGAGCCGCACCTAGGCCACAAACATGGCAGTGACAGAACATGCGGGTTGTGCGTTGTCGGACCAATTTAGAACCGGCAATATCAAAAGCCGATTACCGAGCAAACAAAATTACATTGGGCCCAGTGACCCTAAGGCGTGGCTGCCACGCGTAATGGAATAATAATAATCTTGCATGATCGGGTACCACTGGCTTTCAATGTTCATTCCAGCTGTGTTTTATATACAGGTAAGAGGGTTATACATGATATGGATTCGGTTCGTGTTTGATAGAGAGGTCCAGCAACAGGCGCCCGTTCGAGTCGGGCCCGAGTTATTGATCTTGATTAGGTCTGCTCTCTTTTATTTTGATTCCCTGAATTTCGTTACCATTCAGCTTTAATTCAATCTCTCGCACTTGGATTAGTTAGCACCTTGTGCTGAATGGCTTAGAAATTCTTGACTCCAACTGTATTTGAACAGCTTTGCCTCTCTTTGGTTATGTCGACGCGCAGCTCACGTGCTCCTCTCCTCTCGCTTCCACCTCCGATTCTCAAAGACTGGCGCTTACGACCCTCGCTGACATACTTGAATCCAAATGTACGCAGGACCCGACCCTGCGGCACCTCCCCGACCTCTCCAACGAGATTGCGTTGTTCTTGTTCCAGCTCCCGACGGATGGTGCGGACGATCTTGCCGCTTCCTGCGCGATCTCGACCTCTTCGCGGGCGAATATCGCTGCCGCGCCCGCCAACAGCGTGCTCAAGGATATGATGCGCAAAAATACGCGTCCATCGAGTGCTGATAATGCTACCCCGAAATCCACGGTGCGTGTCCGTACGTCGTTTATCGAGTCCATCACTAACATTCGGAACCGCCATTACGCAGATGCTGTCAGCGCGGCCACTGAAACCCACTACCCATACGTACCCGGATCTTGCACTGTACACCATACGGTCGGTATCCTTCCCCGGCGGTACATTTTTTTTCATCGTTCCAGTTCCCGACGGACGGCGGGGACTTCCTCCGCGATTTTGAGTTGCTCACTGCGGGAAGCGACGAGGTATCGCGCGCGGAAAAATATGCAGGCTAATACCGTGCTCAAGGACAAGAGCGTGCGGGACAACGTCCATCACTTGCTGATGATGCTATCCTGAATGTACGGTGCGTGTCCACATATCGTTTATCAACTTTAATTAAGATTCCCATTGCACGTCCCCGCGGTGCTGAACGTAGATTCGCTGTCCCCGTCACTGTACCGAATACTCACACCGTTACGCCAAACACGGCACCACTCACATTGAAGCAGGCACGTCCTCGCCGTCGCCCGCGTGCGCAATTGGTAAGATTCACGCCTTTTTTGCATTAAGCTCCGTGAGGGAGCGAGCGAGGAAGGTGCGTACGGAATCGATGTCGGTCATGAGCGCGTCAGCAGGCACATTCATTGATTCCATTGCTTCTGAAGCTACGTTTGTAGCAGCTGTCCTGGACAAGTCTTTTATGCCCTTTCCCACTCCCAGCTCCGTGGCAACGCGCCAGTACCCTGCGTTCGTCCTGGACGCTGAATACTCAGGCATGTCCACAGATACATATGAAGGGTGGTGCTGCAAATATGAACATGTTCATGGTCTTGGGCATCGAGTGGGAACGGTGTATGCAATGACCCTGGTATGTTCTCTGCTCAAAGGCGAGTATGTAATTACAATTGGCTCGGATCAAGGCTTGAAGGAATGTCTACTGCGCCGACTTGGTGGCGAATGTCGTGAGCAATTCATGCTCATTTCCGCGGAAGCCGTCCGTTTGATTCGGGCCCGAGTCATTGGTACGCCCAGTCTCTTTTTTGCTCCTTCTGCGCCAGCCCGATCTTCAGTATGTTGGCTTCTCGAGCATGACAGGTGGGCTTTTCATTTCGCTGTCTTGGCGTTCTTCACTGCTCGGCGCTCACCTATTTTTTTTTTCTTTCGCAATATAATAGCGCACTTCATCCCAGCCAACGCGATTCTTTGCTGGTCGCATTTATTCGACATATGTAATACCAAGGTCAATACCTACTCGGTGGCGGATGGTCCGCGTCTGCGGGTTATTTATCCGTCTTGGACTACCATTTAGCAGAAATTACCCGTTCGATCCGGGCCCAAGTCATGACAGATTAGTTTCCTAATTTTTCCATCCGTTTCCGCTGCATCTGCAGACGTTGGTATGTTCCCTGCTCATATATTCGCGAGCACCTACTCTCACGGTCTTCACAGTGCAGCGAAGGGCTACTGCAGCGACTCGGTGGCGAAGAGCCTCGCGTCAACCTTAGTTTTGAGCTTCGACGGTTCAGAGGAAGCCGCTCGTTTGATTCGGGTCCGAGTTATATGAGGTCCGAGCATTCTCTTTTGGATTATTCGCTCTCCCCCACACTCATAGTTTCTCTACTTCGTCTGGACCTCGGTCCCGCATATCTTCAGCATGTGGCCGTGTCGGTGGCGCCTTTTGTTTCTTCAAGCTCGCGTTTGAACCTGATTTCGAATTTCCTGTCTGCGCATTTATCCAGGGCTGAAACTGACTCAGTAATGATGGCTCTGCAACTGCTCCCCTTATTCTCCGCACCATCATGTCAAGTTCTGGAATCTACGTGACTTGGCCTCTTGCTGGAACTAGGACTCACGCACTCTCTGCGTACTAAAGCTTTGACACTGGAGGCGGCGCCAGTGGTCGCATCTCCCTCAGGTAGCACGTCCTTCTGATGACGCTTCGTTCAGAGGATTTCCCGCTGGTTGCCTCCGCGGTCGACTACTCGTTGTTGCAGACTCGGTCTAGTTCACCGCACTAGGGAAGTCCACTGGAGCGTCCTGCGGCCACGCCGGAACCTCGCCGCTGGTCGTATAAATACTGGACCAGCACAACGTTAAAAGGCAGGCTCGCACCACCAATCCCTGCTACATAATGTTTTCTACTCACTTTGCGACCCTCGGCATCATCTCCTTTCCCACCCTTGCAGTCAGCAACGGTGAGGTTATATATCAATGCGGTGTTGGTGCTCTGTCCCAGAGGGCCAATACAACGATTTTGGACGGTATGTTAAGTTTCTGTTTGTACTCTCTAATGTGCGTGTGTATTCACCATCCAACGAGCTCGGGATCGCAGATTTCTCAAAAGATCCCGATCGAGGCGTGAGTACCAATACTCAAAGACGAGTGTGCCTTTGAAATTAATCGCATCGTTCTAGGCTTGCAGGGAATGTCTACTGCACCGACTCGGTGGCGAACGGTATCGCATCCACTGCATGTACTGTATTTTCCAAGGCCATTTCCGCGGAAGTCGCCCGTTCGATTGGGGCCCGAGTCATTCGCGCAGTCCTTTTTTTTCGCTCTCTTCTGTGCCAGGCCGATATTATTTTGGTGGCTTCCAGACGACAGGTGAACCTGACATTTCACTGTCTTTCATAGCGCTCGGTGCTCGGTGCTCACCCCATTGTTTTCTTTGATACACATCATTCCAAGAGAGCGAATGTTGCTGATCTCACTTATGCAGGGTACGTACGTCTATGGTCAATGCTGACTCGGTGGCGAATGGTCAGCCTCTGCCGAGTTTGAAAATGTAGGTCGCGTACTTGTTTAGCAGAAGACGCCCGTTCGATTCGGGCCCGAGTCATAGTATCTAATTGTTGTTTTTTTGGATGTTTAGCTCTCCTCCCCAGCACAGATCATTTCCTTCGCTCTCCTGAGAATCCATCCTGTATTAGTTATAAGCTGAGCCCTGAGTTCACTTTCAAATTTGATTAATGCTGATATTCTGCCAAAGCATGAATTTACTGTCCGGTCCCAGGCAACGCGACTCTGTCGGACCTAGTTTATGCAGGGCACTACCAAGGTCAATAGCGACTCGGTGACGGATGGTCCGCGTCTGCAACTCCTATAGTTGAGCACAAAACCCTAAGATTCAGCAGAAGTCGCCCGTTCGATTCGGGCCCGAGTCATGCATGGTCAGTTGGGATTCCTTTTGGATTTTTGCCCAGCACCGATTTTTTCCTCCCCAGTTCCTCTGAGAATCCGTCTTGCACTCGTTACGCTTGTCAGTTGAAATTTTGAAACCTAAGCTCGAGCACTTTCTGAATTCATTATCTAATATTAAACATTCTGCCAAGGCAGGAAAGGTACTGAATACCGACCAGGCGCGTGCCCAGCCGATGCAAATATTTGTGATCTCATTTGCGCAGGGTACAGCCCATGCCCTAGTGTTGAAAATGCGAGGAAGTGTGCGGTATCAATGGCAGAGCGGCAGGACCGAGATCACCGGAATTGATGGGATACTGAGTAGTGTCGTATCGGATTGAAATACGTCGCAGGTGACAACGCCGTTGTCAAGGGCCGTCAATTAGCCGAGTGTAAAAGTGTGGCGTAGGCGGTTGATCTGCGGCCCCCGAGATTCAACGAGAAAAACAAATAATCATTGACTTGCATCGGGAGTTGTTGCAAAAACTCGGAAGTGTATCGCATACGCTGAAGCCACCCATTCGACTCGGACCTGAGTCATCTTGTTGCTCGATCGTTAGAACAAAGCTTGAGCGCCAGGAAGACTAGAGAGCAGATGAAGGAGGAAGTCAAGAAGCACCACGCCAGTGACGTCACCACATGCCGAGGGCGGTGCCGGGCTGGCGTGCCGGGTACTTCTTCCTTCTTACCGTCATCTTCTCGTACTGGGAGTTACCACTACGACTCAGTGGCGAATGGGATCGCATCCGCTTCATCTGGGTGAAAGATGCCGGAAGTTCCCCAGCGGAAGTCGCCGGTTCGAACCAGACCCGAGTCATGTCACCGATTCAAAGCTTTTGTCTGCACGTCAATTGCACGCACTTTTCCCCCGCCTTCAAGCTTCAGACTTTCTTTGCCAGTCACCCGCTTCTCCCGCCTGTGATCCGCTCTCATAGGTGCTCCTGGACAACATCCATCGGAGAGGACCTCAATCATTCTGCGCCTACACCGAATCCGAGCTCCAGTCTATTTCCAAGCGGCTTAATTCTTTCCTACCTTTCAGACTGAATACTGACTCGGTGGCGGACGGTCCGCATCTGCTCAACGTACGCGTTTCACATGATTTACGCATAAGGCGCCCGTTCGACTCGGACCCGAGTCCCTGACCCTTATTTTTCGCACTCGTTCTTCCAGTGCCGATCTTTCAATCAGCCCGCGTATTTTCATTATGTGGCGGTGGCCGCGAACCCTCCCTCGTCCGGGCTGCTATGTACCTTCATCCACGACCCTGGATGCAAGTATTGACCTCGCCCATTCCGTGATATCTTGCTTGAATATTCAGGCCGAATGAAGTGCTTTGAACGACTCGGTGGCGGAACGTCCGCATCTGCGGCCGATAAATACTGAAATTAAAATGTCAAGAACAGCACGCCCGTTCGACTCGGGCCCAATCATCCACTGGTTTTGGAGGTTTTTGTATTTTCCCCGATAATTTCAGTTTTCTTTCAGGCGCAACCTTCCCGGACACATATGACTAAAATCTCACAAGATGGTGCCAGGTCATGGGGGTTCTCCGCAATGCAGCTTTTCGATCTTGAACCCTCTACTCGTATGTACCTCATGCCAACCTCATGCCATGAATCCTCGTCTTTCAGGATCAGTTTAGCCCTCTTTCTTCCCAACACCGCGTTATGTGACATCATGTTCCCGTACACAAAGCCGTGGCGATCCTATTCCCGCATCGTTATCTCCCCAGTTAATCGGAGACAGCGCTAATAGGTAGTTGCCGCCGGTGACAAATTTTAGCCAATAAATTGTACAAAAAAAACACCATCTGCTTGACCTTGACCCCGAATCGAACGGGTGCCTTCTGAACAATCTATTGCACATGACTCAAGTAGGCCGAAATGGATCATCCGCCACCAAGTCGGTCTTAGAACTCCTTCTGACCTACTGTAAATATGTAAGCAAGCTGCCAGGTATGGGCAAAGTCAGTGCATAATCACAGCGGGGATGAAAATGCCAATAAGGCGAGGCGAGGGCTCGGCGACCTGCTCTAATAAAAGTGATACGTTCCGGGATAAGTAGTAAAATGGTTTATCTCAGTGGAAAATCCGAAAAAAGAAATCTTGGTGGCGAACCATGACTCGGCCCCGAGTCGAACGGGGGACTTCTGCAGAACAGTTACAAAACCACTTAAATGAAGCAAATGCGGACCGTCCGCCACCGAGTCGGTAATTCCTTGCCCTGCAAGCACGTTGCATGAGCAAGATCAGCGCTGTGATCGAGCAAGGCAAAAATGGGGGAAGGGGGAGAACAGAGAGCGAGGATTGTGAAGGAAATGGAGCTACAGCTTGATTCTTTATATGCAGTGTATGTGGCCGCAGTATATCATCACCCTGCGGTGTCAGGAATTTGCGGACATTCAGAAAATGTGCAGCACCTTATCAATTCCGGTCGAACCATCGAATTCATCAGCGTAGCTCACCGGCTAAGTTCAAACTTCAAATTATCGGAAATTCGAGCATGGTGCGAGCACATTGTAGTTATACAGAGGGTCATTGAAGGAGGAAGAGCGAGGTGAGAAAGCCGTAAGAAAACGGATCATATTCATTGCTTGACACTTAGGAATTTTTTGTAAATAAGATCAACTCTGATTGCACACTTTGACAGCGACGCCCAGGACGCATTTCTGGACAGATTTGCTTGATTTATGGTGCGTTCGTGAGGGTTTCAATGGAGCTTTTCATCCATGCTGTTGGTCTTTGCACCCACATCTTGCAGCAACGATTTCTCAGCCAATTCTCAACCAAATTGAATGATTGTAAATATTTTCCAGAGGTGATTCCCTGGCATATCCGACGCGTGAATAGGGTTTGATTCCAACCTGAAATGTAAGCGCCATGACTGATTGTTCAAATAAACAGAACAACTGCTTTTTAAGATACTCAATGTATACATGATAGCATCTCTTATTATGGGAGGGGGTGCCTACTTCACAGCGTTCGAAAACATCTTGAATCAGATGAATCGATGACGAAATGGCCAAGATATGACCATTGCAAGGTGCGGTTGAAACCACAGCAGGCGCATTTTGGCGAACACAAATATTTTGTATCCAACCTTGGGCCGGGTATGGTTAGAAAGCGGCGTTGAATCCCTCGCGAGCGTAATATAAATGAATCAAATCTGTTCAGAAATGTGTCCCGGGCGTCATTGGCAAGGTACACAATCAAAATTGGTCTTATTTACAAAAAAATTGCTAAGTGTCATGTTCATTGCAAACAGCTGTAATTGCCCCTTACACATGCTCCGAGTGCCCAAACTGGGAGCATGGGGGGGCTTGTCTTTTTCAGCATGGACGCACCTATATAGAGAATTCAAAAGATGTCGGGGATCGCCATACAGCCCCACGTCTTGTCCATTTGAGTTTTTCTATGACGCGGGTCAAAATACCGGACGAGACAATTGATAGGAAACTGTTGCGCTTATTCAAATTCCTTTGTGTTGACTGATCACGGACTGTGATTGCCGGAAGCGATGACCGATCAAAAACAATCTATAAAAGAGCGCTACGAGAATCACATGCACGTATGGCGCTCCTGTTTCAGTCCCAGGCATCCTCGCTTCCTTCACATAGACATGGTCCTAAAGACTCTCCGCTTCTATCAACGGGGAATATGAAATGAAGGTCGCCAAGCTGCAAGGTGGCTTTATGTTCCACGCACACCATGATGTGAGCAGCGCAACCGCTCTCGATACTTTAAGGCGCTCTGATTGGCATTCCAGACAGACGAAGTGTTTTATGTTCTTTCTGGAGCGGTGAACATCGCGCTTCAAGGCCTGGACATCGACAAGGTCGTTCTGAACCAAGGAAACATGTTCGTGGTGTTCAACATCGGCCGGTGGTGGAGGAGGGCATTGCTGAAGTTCTGTTCATCGAAAAGGCAGGGGCGATGAATACGGGAGACGCCGTTGATGTGGAGCACCTGCTTAAAGGAGTAGAGGACGCCAGAGGATAGAATATAGAATTGCTTGGCATGGCGTTGTGTTGTCGTGTTGTCCGTGCCCGTGACCGCAATCGATGGCTGTGCATAAGTACATATCGGCCCTTTCTTCAGCGACCTCCATCTTGCCTGCTCCTCCTTCACAGCCAGCTCATCAATAATCACTGTGATCGCACCAACTTTTCGTAGGAACTATCCTCCAGAATTCACCCCACATCGATCAACATCCGCGCACTCTCCTTCAAGCGCATGTCCATACAGTGGAATCTCCTTTCGGGTCAGTTCTACGTACCAAGCCACGCCTGTGAATAACAAAGGATAGAGAGTCCGTGGGGGTTCGGGCAAAAGGGCTGGAGTTCGCGCAAAAGGGCTGCGTATCTAACGAAGGAACTTGAGCAACAACGAGATGAGCGGAACAGATTCTCTGACGCCCATCTGGCGCTTGTATTCCCAGCGCGCAGGCTACCGGAAGATGGCGTCCGCGTGATCTTCATCGGTTGCATACGATCCGTGCGCAATGCTGTATTGAGCCCTCAGGACTCACTTCTGCTCGATATTTCGCAGAAATATCCACTCCAAAAATGTATCGCACCCGCCTGATATCCTTTAACGAACAAGCTCCGAGTCGTCCCACGTAGGAACACTCCCTAGGTTCAAACTTCCGATAACTAAA